CGAGGCTTAACCATAATGAACACGAAGTTCCCTTAACTTCGAACGCGAGGTTCGACTGTATTGAGTACGAGACTCACTTAAGCACGAACGCGAGGTTCGTCTGAAAATGAACGAACGCGAGGTTCGTTTGATAAAAGAACGCGAGGTTCAATCTTGGGAACGAACGCGAGGTTCGTTTAAAGTACGAACGCGAGGTTCGTCTGAAGTACGAACGCGAGGTTCGTCTGAAGTTCGAACGCGAGGCTCGACTGAAGCACGAACGCGAGGTTCGTCTGAAGTACGAACGCGAGGTTCGTCTGAAGTACGAACGCGAGGTTCGTCTGAAGTACGAACGCGAGGTTCGTCTGAAGTACGAACGCGAGGTTCGTCTGAAGAACGAACGCGAGGTTCGTTAAAAAATTGAGCTTGACGCTCACCTGAGTTGAACGCGAGGTTCACCTTAGAACGAACGCGAGGTTCGTTAAAATTGAGCTTGACGCTCACCTGAGTTGAACGCGAGGTTCACCTTAGAACGAACGCGAGGTTCGTTAAAATTGAGCTTGACGCTCACCTGAGTTGAACGCGAGGTTCACCTTAGAACGAACGCGAGGTTCGTTAAAATTGAGCTTGACGCTCACCTGAGTTGAACGCGAGGTTCACCTTAGAACGAACGCGAGGTTCGTTGAGCGCGAAGCTCGGTTAAAATTGAACAAACGCGAGGTTCGTTTGAGGCGTTGAGCGCGAAGCTCGGTTAAAATTGAACGAACGCGAGGTTCGTTTGAGGTAACCACCTCCTTAATTTTCGCCATGAACCCTTAGGGTTTCAAATTGAAACCGCCGCGACAAACCCAAAAAAAACCTTTGATTTTTCTTTTCAAAACAGATCCAGAATTGGAAAAAATTGAAGGAAAAATCAAAGAAAAATCCAAAAAAATTCCCAAAAGTTACTGTTCACCGGCGATTTTTCAGTTACTGTCATCCGAAAAAATACTTTACTGTTCATCCGAAAAAAAAATTTTCGTTACTGTTCATCCGCGAACATTACTGTTCATCCGAACCCAAAAATTGAATCTTTAACCAGAGATTTAAGATCAAAAACCCAATAAAACTTAAATCCCTAAGAATTAATCAAGGTGGCTCTGATACCACTTGTTAGATCTACATCAAAACTTGAGATCTAAAACCATATAGCCATGATTAATTCAAAGAGATTAACAATAATCAAAAGAGCGGAAGCTTATACCTGAATCCATGGATGAAATCTTGATTTGGGTTTTTGATGATCTTCTAACCTTAGGGTTCCTCTAAAATCCGAATTTCTCTCTTAGATGGGGGTGAAGAGAATTAGAGAATGTAACCCTAGGTTAGGGACCATAACCCCTTATTTATAGATGTTGTACTTTTGTAATTTAGCCCCTCAATAAATTACAATTACAACCTGGTATCTGCACATATAACCCCATGACTTATTTAAATACCAAATTAACCCAACTTAATTGATCACTTTAGTGGGTTATCCTGAAAGATAGCAATACACATTGATTAATCATATGTGCCCACAAATAGATTTATTAGATTAAATCCAACACTAAGGACCATATCCGATTGAAGAAAAGATTGGCAGCGTGGCTTACAAACTCAAACTACCACATGGTTCTCATATACATCTAGTGTTTCACGTGTCCCTCTTAAAAAAGAAAGTGGGTGGCGCCATCACTCCTAGCTCAGACTTACCACCAATGGCCGACGGCGGTGAGTTGTTGCTGGAACCAGGGGCAATCTTGAACAGTCGCTGGGTTACCAAAAGATCTAAGTTTGTCACTAGTACAAAATAGGTCAGTCCAAACGGTTGGAACCGTTTGGGAAAACCCCCTCCCAAACGGTTACAACCGTTTGTACGAGGTAAAAAACCCGTTTGGGCTAAAGCCATTGGGGATAAGGTGTCCCCAACGGTTGACCAAACGGTTGTAACCGTTTGGGCAAAATCCCAAACGGTTACAACCGTTTGGGATGTTGCCCAAACGGTTGCAACCGTTTGGGGCATAAAAATTTGCCAAACGGATGAAACCGTTTGGGCAATTTTTTGCCCAAACGGTTTCAACCGTTTGGGCAATTTTTCGTCCAAACGGTTTCAACCGTTTGGCCTATTTTTCACCCAAACAGTTTCAACCGTTTGGGCTATTTATTTTAATAGTTTTTAAAGTTTGGCTTCTTTATTTATCTACTTGTTTATATATACATCTCACACAATAAGTACTCAACATCTCACAATGAAATCAAAATATTTTCAAACTTTGCTAAATATTCAATGTTATCATACACAATGTTTACTCAATATACAATATTAAAGACAAAACATATACATACACAATGATTACTCAATATGTCACAAATGAAAAGCATCTAATATTATATATTTGTCTCTAATCTCTAATATCCAAAATGTCCAACATAATCAATCAAGTCAAGGAAAAGAAGAAATTCCTCGATGAGGTTGCCTTTTCGATGATCCGCTCCTACACGATACAAAGTATTCAAATATAAGTCAACAAGGCAAGAGTAGATATATTTAAGAAAAAAAATTAAAAATATAAGTCAACAAGGCAAGAGTAGATATATTTAAGAAAAAATTAAAAAAAAAAATAGAAGTATGATTATAGCATAAAAGCAGTAATTAAATTTTCATCCAGAACATCTATTCAAGGGGATTTTGATCCATATTTAAATTATATACACGTTTTGCAAGTCTCGAACACAAAAGAGTAGCTACACTTAGGCATGAACCATCGTCTTTCACAGGTCTCGATCCATCTTTAAATCTTATACATATTTTACAGGATCTTTGAAATGTATACAAGTTTTACAGGTTTGATACAAAATGTGACAACCTGATGAAATTTGAATTCAAGTATTCAAGCTAATCTGAATACTTCAACAGAAATGTCTGTGTGTCTAAGTCACTTAAACAGCACATATAGCTCATTTCTAGTCTTAGATTGTTGTGGCATCGAACTAAGGTCCTGATCATTCTATTCAAGCTCCCAAAGGATTCATTCTGTACAAGATGTAATGTGTATATATGTGCTAATAAACTGAGCTCGAATATAATCTTTATGGTGCTAGCTTCAAGTTGATATCAGTAACGGATTAAAACAGGGCATATAAACCACTCATTGTAATAAAGAACATGAGACTGGAAACAGTCGGCTTGTTTTAATAATTAGAGATTTGTCATAGACTATACGTGTGAGACTTGCATGCTTACAAGATGAACTGAATATGGACACGCCATAAAAGGACAAGTTCTCTCACAAACTTAGAAATGGAAGCACATAATCCTTAATTAGAACTGAATATAGACACTCCATAAAAGGACAAGCTCTCTCACAAGCTTTAAAATGAAAGCACATAATTGGTCACTAATAGAGATATATCAACTAATACCCTACCCTCTTTCCTTCTTACAGCAAAGGCTTCATGATTTCCAGCAAAAAGTTCATGGGCTTAATTATCTCCTTCCATAACATTTCCAGCAACAGGGCATATAATATGTTCCCATTTTCATAAAATTTAAGGACAACACGAATATTAAGTGATTTTCAAAACAAAATAGAAGTATGATTATAACATAAAAGCAGTTAAAATTTCATCCAGAACACTTACGCAATACTCCTTAGTGCTGTTGTCCGGATATGTATACTCTCCGGTGATCTTATCTACCGATGACGAGTGGATACCCAAATATAGTTTCAGCATTGTAGGTGTGCCACCATCCTCAATGATTTGACATTTCTGCAATTCACCAAAAATATGTTGTATAAACGATCAAAACATTTAAGAATTATATAATCTGATTTGTACTAGTGTGGATCCGTTAGAATTGCATTATATGACTTCCTTCATTGTTTCTTATTAATGAAACACGACAAAATCATTCACCTTTGACTGAAAGAAAAACCTGCTGTGACGAGAGAATTCTTCTCGACCCTAAACAAGTATGAACTATTCTTAAGGTCCAACTAAACCAAAGATCAAGGCGCTCATGAGAATAATGGTTTGCTTGCTCTTGCCTTTGCAACAGCCCAGTGATGCACCGACTTGGAATCCCAGGGAAGGGGGCTGAAGAGCCTCCTTGGAACCCCAGAAGGAACGTTGTTAGGGGTCGCATACGATATCGCGGTCCATGCAACCACCATCAAAGGAACTCCATAGTCGGCAATGAAACCTCTGAACCCCCCCTGCAAACAGTAATCACAGCTCTTACCATCATTCTTGGGGAGTTAATTAATCAATGGCACGGTAAATAACCAGAATATCACAGACCTGTGCCATATCTCCACGACCTTGCCTTTCTACTCTTTAATGAAGTGTACAGAAGGCCACCAGAAAATATGAGGCCCAGCAATTCATTCGTATAAAGCCACTGGAACTGGTTTACCATTAGACTCAAATCTTCGCCTTTGGGTACATTAAACTCACTCACCAGACCCTATAAAAAAATGAAAATATTAGCACTAGTTTTGCTCGCTAAGATTACTTTCCAGACTCGAAATAGAGAGATAAAAAATCACCTTGATAGCTTCTTGAAAGAGGAGAACTGTTATCAACATCCCAAAGAGTTCTCCTGCAACCCTGGTGAATCTACTAATTATAGCGGAAGCATTAAAAGCTGTCAGAAGAAACAGCATGATAGCAGTCCAGATGCAAACCCTACGAAAAGTTTTGCAAATCAAAAATCATATTAACTAAGAAACATGACTAACTGATCCAAACTCTTTTCATCTTCACAACTACAAAACCATCCAGCCCAAGCCAAAAATAGGCGTGCACCCAAGTCTTCTAGGTCTTTGGCAAAGTTGTACAAGTATGTGTACATTAACACAGTAGGTTCTGCAACTCCAAGAATTAACATGGGCAACTTTACACTTTGTTCCAAATAGAGAATTTACATCAGCAACTTCACACTTTGTTCCAAATTTTCATCAGCTTAATATATGATACAGCAAGGCTAAGAAGCTTACATGCGGAGGGCATTTCTTGGTGAGATGGTCCAGCACTGTTTGCTTGATCACCTCCAAAAGTGACTTTCGCTGAACACGCGAAAACAATTTCAATTATATAAAGATAAATACTTGTTTCACCAAAAGTATCAAATAGACATTAACAGCCATTGTATCGTAAGGTATATTTACTTTCATTGTGCACAATAGATCACCCCACTGAATGTTAAGATGATCGGGGTTTAACAAACATAAAGCCATAATAAAGGAAAATCCTAAAAGTATTACATTTAACAAAGTAAAGCTCCACTGCCGCCGCCTCCGACGAGGCATCCAGCTCCATGTCCTCCAGCTACAAACCAAACATTCACATGGGCATTTCATCAAACAGGTTGCAAGCACGAAGTAAAACCAGGCTAAACAAGAAACCGATCGACCAAACAAACAAGCGAAAATCCCAAAGGGGCATTTCGTCAAACACGTAACGAGCACAAAAACTAAATAAAAGCTTAAACATACTTGTAGTGTCTTGTATTCCCATGTTTCCAGGTATATATGCCTGGATGATTAAATGTATTTGATTTTCTTTTAGATGAATAAAATCTAAAACTTAGTGAAAAATATATACAATTAGTAAAAAGAAACGGAACACACTGACCTTCAAGTAGATGTCAAGTGTCAACGGTCTTAGTGCTCCTTCTGTAAACGGAGAACATTAGATATCGTGAACTCTTAAAAAATCATTATATATCATCAAAATCAAGTTAAAACCAACCTGTGTCTTTACTTAGTTGCTCTCCAAAAGCAATAACAGGTAAAGCAGAAGCAAAAAAGATGTACATAGTAGGTGCCAAGACCCTGAAAAAAATGATGAGCAAAACAATTAACAGAATTGCATAAGCCTTTAAATTATTTTTTTTTCAAATACAAGTACCTGAATCCTGAATGAAACCCAGCCATTCAATCTTGACGGTAACATGGTGCTCTACCTTTGACATCACTGATGATTCCCCTAAATGGATGCCTGATATGATCCATTCTCGAGTAAAATCCTAAGAAAAACCAGTTATTTAACGATGTTAAAATTTATGGAGAAGGAATTATTTTGGTGGGAGCACCAAAATTCTTAATATCCCACGTTTCAGCAACTTCCATTTAAAACATATTTTTGGTGGAGGCACGCGGTGGAGGAGGCGGAGGAGCGATGCGGTGGAATCGATGGAGGCGGTGGAGGAGGCGGCGGAGGATCGAGCGCGCCGGCAAATATGAGGCGGCGGAGGATCTCGAGGGCCGGCAAAGATGAGGCGGCGGAGAAGGTCAGGCCGGCGAAGATGAGGCGGAGGCGGAGGCGGAGGCGAATTTTTTGCCGGAGGGGAATTTGAGGGTGTGGTGTTTTTTGGCGAAGGGGAATTTGAGCGTGCGGTGCTTGGGGATGAAATTTTTGGCGGAGGGGAATTTGAGAGGGTGCGGTGTTTGGGGATGAAATTTTTGGCGCCGCTGGCTGAAAATTTGGGGAGAACGCGTGCGCGGGTCAGAAAAACGATGGCAAAAAAATTTTTTTAAACCCTAGTATAACTCCCAAACGGTTTCAGCTGTTTGGACGGATATGTTCTAAACGGTTTAACCCGTTTGGGCGCTCCGTTTGGGATTATTCAATAGCCCAAACAGTTTAAACCGTTTGGAATAATTAGTCCAAACGGTTTAAACAGTTTGGGCTATTTTGACTTGCCCAAACGGTTCCAATAACCGTTTGGACTGTCCTATTTTGTACTAGTGTGTAGAGGAAAGCTTGATCAAATGGAAACAACTTCCACCAGAAGATGCAACGTGGGATTTGGATTAAGAGCCATGCAACGGGATTACTTGACAGGTTGCAAGGAAGAAGTCCAAGTTTGTTAAACGATGTCCACGAGCTTGGTTACTGAAGAATAGGATAAGTAGTTAATAACTTACTTCTGCTATTTTGTTGCCACTAGTCTATCGTATCCTATTTCTTAGAGACATGGCCTAAGAATTAGGATTGGTTGTTATTCTCCATTGTTATTTAAACTCCTTCCCAGTTGTTAATAAGGCAAGCTTATTCTCAATCAAAACACCTGTGGTTCGTTCTCACCCGAAGAGAACTTATTTCCTAATATTCTTATAGCTTTGACCGGGACCTATCGGTGATGATATTAGATGTCACGGAAGAAGTGGTAGTTAAGGCGGAAACCCAGCCTTAATTTATAATTTGCATCCTCTTGATTGTTTTCCCGCAACAAAACATTTAGGTGCCTGCGTCCGTTTCAAGCGATTGAAGATGTGTGCAGCGTCTTCCGTGGTTTTTAATTGCAGAAATTGAAACTAAATTTAATTCGTTACGACAACTCGATCGTCTAATTTTAGCTTTTTTTAGTGTTAAAAGGGCCGCGCGTTCACATCAAACGAAGACGGATTGCTTTCTAGTCATAAATAAGAAACAGACAGGCCAGCCCAGAGCATGCGGTTGGAAAGAAACCTGAAGAGGGCAGGATACGTCTGAAGGAGTCAACACTTTGATTTTTTTTCTCTCTTCACGATATCAAGCAGACAATTCTTGCACATCACTAGATTAATATCTTACCGGGAGAAAAAAAAAAAGTAGCAGAAGACGTTCAAGAGGACAACACTTGGAATTTTCTCTCTGCTTTTGGGATGCATAACGTTCAACGAATTAGATGAACTGGACACCTTTGACATTCAAAATACATATGCTTGGTACACAATAATTTCTCTCGACTCTAGGAAATAATCGAAAATATCAAACGCAATGGATCATTCTAAAAAAGACAATTCTTGCGACGTTACTACAACATTGATAATTAACCAGATGTTCATAACAATTCTAGTACATGTACACTGCTTTTGCACGCCGAGCTAAAAACTTCACCAATCCCTATCCGACTAGCTAGTGTTCGTTCATGAATAACTGGAGGTACAAACATATTTGTCATTCTTATTTCAGTTGCTCGAAGCGTATTGTTTTTCGCAGTAGTTCTTTCAAATTACAGCGCGACGCTTCATCAACCTGATCCATCGAAGTTAATATACTTGAAACCGTACGAGACTCAAACTACTCCTGACCAAACACACCCGCTCAGATGCTCGGAAACCATCCAAAACTACGTATGAAGTCAGTGAGAATATACTAGCTAGACAGCAACCTATCGCCACACACGTGCCTTACCTAATCCACCAATTGTCCTCCTCGCCGAACTCGCAAAAGGGAGAGAAAACAAGGGTGGTCTCCCCTCCTCTCCTCCCGAACTCAGCCTCAGCGTCGGCCTTGGCCTCAATCCCTCTCTTTTTCGCACCAAGTAAGAGCTGATCTCTGCAAACCGGACAAGTGCTCCCTTTATGCTCCACCCACGTATTTAAACAGAACTTGTGGAATGCATGCTTGCATCTGAGTTCGTTGCTGGTTTCTTCTCGTTTGGTTATTTCCAGGAGACAAACCGCGCATTCTGCGGGCTCTATAGGCTTTGTCGAGACCGTTGAAGGAGCGACAAAGCTTGGGACGACGGCTTTAGTGATGGATTTAAGGAGGAGGGCCAAAATGGCAAGGCAGTTGAATAGAGATGCCATGTTGTGTATATGGACAAAGTGAAAACTAACTTGCGTTGTGGGAGTGGAGATAATTAATTTAAAATTGCTTTTATAGGCAACGGTTAAGGATATTTGAAAGACAGGTCGGATACTGGTCAAGTATATATATGTATATTGAATATGTGAAAAGGAAAGTAATGCTTGGGGGTGTGGTTTGCGTTATTGATGAGTTACATGAGGGGGGGGGTTTGGGATGTTGCTAAGAAAAGGTACCTGGAATTTTAATAGCCAAGAATTGAGTGCATGTATTGAATATTTGTGTACCTTTGAGTTGTTCACGAGTTTCATGAGGAACATTTTGAGAGGTTACGAAGAAGAAGTGTTAGCTTGGACCGTCCTTGGTTGGTGATTTTCTTTTCTTTTTTTTATTTTACTTTAAAAGAAAACCATTAATTGTAGTTTTAAATTAGAGTAAATTACACTAAATCTCCAAGAACTTTCGGTATTTTACAATAGATCCCCAATAACTTTCAGAATCACACTAAACAGCCGATAAAATTTGGAATTGCAGAAGACCGCCTATAGTTTCCGCATTTTGTATATAATCCCCATGAATTAGAACTAGAAAACAATATAAAAATGCATTTTGAATGACGTTTTCACCCAGAGAGAAGGCTTTGGGATCCAACTTTGTGGCAAGCAAGAGCAGAACAAATGACAAAAGACTAGGTATCTCTTGTTTTAGGATTGAAATATTAAAAAAAAAGGTCATAAATGGGGTTTTAATAATATAAGGGGCGTTAAATTTGGTTTTTTTAAAGTAGGTGAGTTTTTTTTTTGGTCAATGAAAATTTTATTCATATCCCAAATGAGAAATATGTACATATCAAGATACTCAGTACTGTAGACTGAGATTTACAAAAAAATTACATGTATATGAAGTATAACCAGAACTTTATATTAACATGAAAAGTTCTCTGTCACTGTTAGAGGAGTGCGGACTATTCAAAAGTATGGTTGAGACATCATATTTGATTTCCTTCACAATCTGATCAGCATCCTTAATTTTTTGTGAGAAGATCCGTTCATTTCTTTCCCGCCAAATGTGGTAGATAGAAGCTGTAAAAACCAGTCTCTTAAGCTTTTGCTTATATCCTCTACCTCTCAAACTTGCAAACCAATTAACTAGATGAGACCAATTAGTAGACTTCCACCCAAAGCCAATCCATACCATGATTTTATCCCAGATGTAGCCAGAGAAGGGACACTCAAAGAACAAGTGATCCCTAGACTCCAAGCTTAAACCCATACATAAACTGCAACTGTTGTTATCTATAATTCCTCTTTGCAGCAATTTGTCTTGGGTCAATAGCCTATTTTGCATAGCCAACCAGCAAATAAAGGCATGCTTAGGGATGTTTAAACTCCCCCAAACAGTTTTACACCATGAGACCTGATGAGATGTAGGAAGGAGCCCTGCATACAAAGCTGAAATTCTGAGTTTGGAGCTCCTGTGGCAAGAATGAATGAAGTCTTTTAGCCTGTCAGCTTCTCCAAAAAAATCAATGCTTTATCCTTGGCTTTAACCATTTGTTTCCACATCCAAGAATCCCCTGATTTAGCTTTTACTTGCCATATATCACTATTCTTGAGATAATTTCCATGTATCCATTTGATCCACAAAGATTTAGCTTTTACTTGCCATATATCACTATTCTTGAGATAATTTCCATGTATCCATTTGATCCACAAAGATTCTTTGTTAACATGTATAGACCAAATGTTCTTCAGTGCACTTGCAAAATTCCAGTAATAAGCCGAAAACACTCCCAATCCTCCTTGTTTTTTTCCAATACAAACTTTTTTCCAAGAAACTAGAGATTTCCTAGAAGAATCCCACAAGAATCTCCTGCACATTTCATCTATCTTATG